TGATCCATAATAATAATAATAAAGTGGGAAGGGACCTTGGAGGTCATTGAGTCCAACCCCCTGCTCAGGCAGGAAATCCATTTTGGACAAATGGCTGTCCAATCTCTTCTTAAAAACTTCCAGTGTTGGAGCGTTCACCGCTTCTGGTGGCAGGTTGTTCCATTGTTAATTGTTCTAACTGTCAGGAAGTGTCTCCTTAGTTCTAGGTTGCTTCTCTCCTTGATCAGTTTCCATCCGTTGCTTCTTGTCCTGCCTTCACGCATCTTGGAAAATAGCTTGCCTCCCTCTTCTTTGGGGCAGCCCCTGAGATATTGGAACACAGCTATCCTGTCCCCCCTCATCCTTCTCTTCATTAAACCAGATATACCCAATTCCAGCAACCGTTCCTTATCTGTTTTAGCCTCCAGTCCCCTAATCATCTTTGTTGCTCTTCTCTGTACTCTTTCTAGAGTCTCAGCATCGTTTTTACATTGTGGTGACCAAAACTAGATGCAGGATTCCACGTGTGGCCTTACCAAGGCACTGTAGAGTGGCATTAATACTTCACGTGATTTTGATTCTATCCCCCTGTTAATGCAGCCTAGCACTGTGTTGGCCTTTTTGGCAGCTGCAGCACATGGCTGGCTCATATTTAGGTGATTGTCCACTAGGACTCTGAGATCCCTCTCACAGTTACTACTATTGAGCAAGGTACCCCCTATATCTGTACATTTGGTTTTTCTTGCCTAAATGTAGAACCTTACTTTTTTCACCACTGAATTTCATTTTGTTAGATAGCGCCCAGTGTTCAAGTCTGTCCAGATCCTTCTGTATCTTAAGCCTGTCTTCTGGAGTGTTGGCTATTCCTGCCAGCTTGATGTCATCCGCAAATTTGATGAGTTCCCCATCTATTGCCTTGTCCAAATCATTGATGAAGATGTTGAAGAGCACTGGGCCTAGAACCACCTTGTGACGAGGGGGGAAATGATAGCAGTGTTCCAATATCTTGGGAGCTGCCACAAAGAAGAGGGAGTCAAGCTATTTTCCAAAGTGCCTGAAGGCAGGACAAGAAGCAACAGATGGAAACTAATCAAGGAGAGAAGCAACCTAGAACTAAGGAGAAATTTCCTGACAGTGAGAACAATTAACCAGTGGAACAACCTGCCTCCAGAAGCAGTGAATGCTCCAACACTGGAAGCTTTTAAGAAGAGACTGGACAGCCATTTGTCTGAAATGGCAGAGGGTTTCCTGCCTGAGCAGGGGTTTGGACTAGATGATCTCCAAGGTCCCTTCTAATTCTAGTCTAGTCTAGTCTAGTCTAGTCTATGTAATTTTTAATTTTATTTTTGGTCTTTAGAGCAGTGTTTCTCAACCTGGGCCATTTTAAGAGGCGTGGTCTTCAACTCCCAGAAAAAAATTCTGGGAGTTGAAGTCCACACCTCTTAAAGGAGCCCAGGTTAAGAAACACTGTTTTAGAGTATTAGCTGTCCTCTTCCGTCATGTGTCATCTACCAATACAAACACATTTCCTCTATCATTTAATTACTAAGCACTAATAAATACACCCACGAGTATTCAGGAATGAACTGCGTGTCAACTTCCTTAATACCTTTGAGGAAGAACCACAGACAAGCACTCCAAAATGAAATCAATCAATCAATTATCGTGTCATCTAGGCTCACTCATAATCCTATCACCTGTTAATGCTTTGCTGCACAATGAAGATATATTACATCCCCTGCATTCCCACATTCTATTAAGTGACCTTATTTTAAAAATCGGATCAGGGTAATCTGAAAAGTTCTTGAGTTCCCACGGTGACTTCCAACACAGGGAGTCCTCGACTACCAGTTCGCTTAGTGACTGTTCGGAGTTACAACGGCACTGGAAAAAGTGACTTATGACCTTTTTTCACACGACCGTTGCAGCATTCCCCATCATTGTGTGATCAGAATTTGGCAACTGTCTTGTATTTATGATGGTCGCTGTGTCTCCCAGGGTCACGTGATCCCCTTTTGCGACCTTCTGACAAGCAAAGTCAACGGAGGAAGCCAGATTTACCTCACAACTGTGTTACTAGCTTAACAACTCCAGTGATTCGCTTAACAACGGTGGTAAGAAAAGTCCTAAATTGGGGGCCCAACTTACTTAACGACTGCCTCAATTGGCAACAGAAATGTTGGGCTCAATTGTGGTCGTAAGTCCAGGACTACCTGTGCTAACTTAACAAGTGCAGTGATTCACTTAACAACCGTGGCGAGCCAAAGGTCATAAAATGGGGCACAGTTTTCAGAAGAACAGCCTCACTTAGCCACAGAAATGTTAAAGGGGATATAGTATTATTAAGTAGATGATTTAATATGGTGGGAAATAGATAACTTTTAGGAAGTAGAACAAGATTGCATTCAAATAGATAAAATGTGAATTGAGACAAGGGTTACCCAAAGGCTGAACATTATAAATATCAAAGGTTAAATTGGAATATTGATGAGAAACTAAAAACTGGGTAAAAATGAATAGCAGGAAATGGATTGTTTATGAAGACTGAATGTCATTAAGATAGGTAGAAGCTAAAAATGTATTGATAAATGTCATAATGATGTTTTTACTGAGTTGATATAATCAGACCTGTACTAGCTTGAATACGAGACAGTAAATGGGAAGGGGAAAAAGAGAAGACACATTTGATGTCGTAGCTTGAGATTTGTACTAAAGATTTTGTTATCGAACTGTTGATTAACCCAGTCACCACGTTGCTTTTTAAATGCTGAAATGTAAATTGGAAAATAAAATATTATTAAAAAAAAAGAAAAAAGAAAACTCCATCTCTGCCAGTGGAGTCCTCCATCACAGCTGCTCCCTCTGCCAATCATGGGCCCCTGGATCTGGTTTGGTCCCTCTTTTTTAAAATAAATTCTGTTTTTGCCTACAAACCAGGCTGGTCCAAAGGCCGGGATGACCTTCGGCTTCCCAGCCCGTTCTGCATTCCGTTGGGCAATCATCAACTTGAGGAGGAAAAAAAACAATTTTTCCGTCTGAATTTTAGCACGTGCTCACCGACAAGAAAGAACAAAATCCGTCGTTTCTTTTATTTCAACCCTCCTTTTCTGCGAGTCAGGCAGTTCAAAGGCAACGGGTGCAAGTTTCCAGACATCCTGCTCTGACGTAAACGTTTTTGTATTTTCAAAAAAAAGAAAGAAAGAAAGAAAGAAAGAAAGAAAGAAAGAAAGAAAGAAAGAAAGAAAAGAAAAGAAAAGAGCAAAGGCTCCCGCTTTGAATTTATTTTCTGCTTCCATTTATTTCCGTGCATTAATTCATTCCACAGCTCAGAGAGGCTAAGCTGGAAGTTCTCTGTATCCGGTTCGCATATCCGTCCTCTCTCACCTACACAACCTCTCCCTTATCAGCCCTTTTCACACAACTTGCTTTAACCAAATCTGAGAAGTCCCTGGGGCTGTCTGAGCTGAGTGTTTTTCTTGTGGATGTTTCATTACCCAACTAGGTAACATCATCAGTGCTAGAAGAGAGTGGGATTTGCAGAGAGGAGGAGGAGGAGGAGGAAGAGGAGGAGGAGGAGGAGGAGGAGGAGGAGGAGGAAAAAGATTGTGGGGTTTCTTGGTGCTCTCTGAGCTGGGTGATTTTCCTACAGACGTTTCATTACCCAAACTAGGTAACATCATCAGTGCTGCAAGAGAAAGGAGTTTGCACTGATGATGTTACCTAGTTGGGTAATGAAACGTCTGCAAGAAAACCTCAGAGAGTGCCACGGACCCCGCATTTCAACCCTGACCTACAAATATTCTCCTTTATTAACCAAATCTGTTGCATTCACAAAACAGCATAAGTTTAGTTAGCATACAGTCCTTTGCTAGGTTTTTTTTTTTTTTTTGGTAGCTTACCCATAACATAGAAACCCAGCTAGTGTGGTTAATTTATAACTCAATATGCTCCATAAACCCAAAATAATTGGCCACTTTCTTTCTTCATTAAAGAAGCAAATGCATGCTAGTGAATTGTTGGGGAGTAAACACATATTAAATAAACATAATCCCTTCTGTAAAATACTTGGAGTGAAAGCATAAATTATTTAGTCACGACTCTCAAGCTATCTTCCCCCTGTTTGAAGCTCGTATTCCATTTTGATGGCTAATATGATTAATCATGACAAATAACAGCCTTGGCTTTGGTCTATTCCACAGCTGAATATTGTGCTGGTGTACGGCTTAAGAGCAGGGGTCTTCAAACTTGGCCCTTTTATGACTTGTGGACTTCAACTCCCAGAATTCCTCAGCCAGGCACGCATTCCTCAGCCAGGCATGCAATTCTGGGAGTTGAAGTCCCCAAGTCATGAAAGGGCCCAGTTTGAAGACCCCCGTCTTAAATCTAACAAACAAAATGGAGGCTGGCTGAGGAATTCTGGGAGTTGAAGTCCACAAGTCATCAAAGAGCCAAGTTTGAAGACCCCTGTCTTAAATCTGACAAACAAAATGGAGGCTGGCTGAGGAGTTCTGGGAGTTGAAGTCCACAAGTCATCAAAGGGCCAAGTTTGAAGACCCCTGTCTTAAATCTAACAAACAAAATGGAGGCTGGCTGAGGAGTTCTGGGAGTTGAAGTCCACAAGTCATAAAGGGCCAAGGGCCAAGTTTGAAGACCCCTGTTGGGGCTGGCTGAAAAATTCTGGGAGTTGAAGTCCACAAGTCATAAAAGGGCCAAGTTTGAAGACCCCTGTTGTAAGATATACTACCTGTCTATCTCTGTACCAAATGGGAACTTTTTTTGAACTGGGGAAGATCATCTCATTCAAATACCTGCATAAAGATAATCACTTTTGCTAACGCTATATTTTATGGAGGCCTAAGATTTATTTTTATTGCCGTAGAACAGACAGGTCTTTACCGCCAAGTAAAAACAAACTTATTTCTACCTGATTACAGAAGTATTTATTCCGTCACAGGACCATCATTTCCACACTCTAGTCTGGAAGGAGAGGTTACCTTAAGCTGGAGCCAGATTATACTTACAGGAGTCAAAGTTTTAAAATGTCACACAGTTTGTTGTTGGCTTTGCTGCAAAAGATCAGTGTGATGACACAAGCAGGTCCGCGAATCCAGGCCAGACATATCCCTAAATGCAGAGACTGGATACGAGTCTTGTTCCCCTTTAATACAAAAGCAAAATATTATTTGCACTGGAAAAGGGGAGGTCCAAATTCTGCAAGATGGCGTGCAAAAACCATTCTAAAAATCCCAAACAGGTAGTCCTCGACTTAGGACCACAACGGAGCTGTTGCTAAGCGAGGCACTTGTTAAGGGAGTTTTGCCACATTTTACACCCTTCCTGGCCGCAGTTGTTATGTCAGTAACCCGATTGTTAAGTCAGTCTGGCTTCCCCATTGACCTTGCTTGTCAGAAGATCCCAAATGGGGATCATGTGACCCTGGGGGACACGGCAATTGTCGTAAATGTGAGTCAGTGGCCAAGTGCCTGAATTCTGATCACGTGACCCTGGGGATGCTGCAACGGCCGTAAGTGTGAAAAATGAACATAAGTCACCTGGAGACTAAAACATACGAAGAACGGCTGTGGGACTAGTCTAAAGAAAAGAGGAAATAGGGGAGACATGATAGCAGCGTTCCAGTATCTGGGGGGCTGCCATAAAGAGGAGGGGGTCATGTTATTCTCCAAAGTTCCAGAGGGAAGGACGAGAAATAATGGATGGAAACTGATCAAGGAGAGAAGCAACCTGGAATTAAGGAGAAACTTCCTGACAGTGAGGACAATTAACCAGTGGAACAGCTTGCCACCAGAAATCATGGATGCTCCATCACTGGAGGTTTTTAAGAAGAGATTGGACAGCCATTTGTCTGAGATGGTATAGGTTGCAAGTCGAACCAAATACAGTTAGTCCCCATCTTACAACAGTCCATTTTAGTGACCCTTCAAAGTGACCATGGCACTGAAAAATTTGACTCATGTCCGTTTTTCACAGTGATGACCTTTGCAGTCTTCCTCCTCCGCCATGGTCACGCGATCAAACTTCAGATTCTCAGCAACCGGCATGTATTCATGACGGTTGCCGTGTCCCGATGGAGTCACAGGGGATCCCCATTTGCGACCTTCTGACACGCACCGGGAAGCCATTTTTCCTTAACAACAGTGTTACTGACTTAAGAACTGCAGTGATTCCCTTAACGACCGTGGCAAGAAAGGTCGTAAAATGGAGTGAAAGTCACTTAGCAACTGTCTTGCCTAGCAACAGAAATTTTGGGTCCAGTGGCGGCCGTAAGGCCAGGACTAGCTGTAACGTGGCTTTGAAATTTAATACTTTAATTTAATAGGACTACCGGTTATTTGGTTCCCGAGGAGTTAAAGGACCAGCTCGGAGTTAATATCCGGGTGGTGCTTTCTGCTAATTAGAAGCCAAGTTGCTCCATCGGTTAATGTGAGTAAGGCCGGTGGATTTTGACCAGGCCTCAAAGGAAATGCTTAGCGGCCTTGAAAAGTAGAGCTTAAGTCAAAGTGTAATTTCCTCCCGTGTTTTTGTGCGTGTATGTGTGTGTGTGTGTGAGAGAGAGAGAGACAGAGAGAAGTGTGATATGGGAGAGGATGATGCAGTTGAGTTGGCAGATAAAAATTGCAGTCTATTGTTCTATTATAGCAGGGATCTTGAAACTTGGCAACTTTAAGACTTGTGGACTTCAACTCCCAGAATTCCTGAGCCAGCCATGCTGAGGAGAAAGGGAGAGGTTTCCAAGCTGAGCCATGCTGGCTCAGGAATTCTGGGAGTTGAAGTCCACAAATCTTAAAGTTGCCAAGTTTCAAAAAAAAAAAAACCTCCTCGTTCTATAGGTTAATCTTTTTCGTGGATTTCAGCAAAGCTGGCTGAGGTATTCTGGGAGTTGAAGTCCACACAGCTTCAAGGTTGGGAAATCCTGGGTTAACCCTTTAATGACGTAATTAGATTTGCTTTCCAACAGTCCAGGCTTCCTTTCCTGACTATTCATGGCTGCCCGTATTGTTCGGGGGACCTTTCAATCAGTTATATATAAAGTGAATTTTAACCTGTGGAATATGCACAGGTACTCCTTGTGGGGGGAAAAAAACTGAAAAAAATTGAAAAAAAAAACCCAACAGGTTTTTTTCTGTCTTTTTTCAAACAGCTTTGGGGAAAAAAAGGAGAGAAAAAACAGAACACACACACACACACACACACACACACGTTTTTTCCCAATTTTTCTGAGGGTTTTCCCGAGGCCTTCCCATCTCTACTTACCCCCATTCGTTTACTGACTGTTTGAAGTTACAACAGCACGGGAAAAAGTGACCTATGACTGTTTTTTCCCCATTTACGACCGTTGCAACCTCCCCTGCGGTCACATGATCAAAATTCGGAGCCTCGGCAACGGACTCATATTTACGATGGTCGCGGAGTCCCCAGGGGGAAGGGGATCCCATTTTGCAGCCTTCTGACAAGCAAAGTCAATGGGGGAGAAGTGGGATTCACTTCATAGCCGTGCTCACTTCACAACGGTGGCAAGAACGGTCGTAAAATGGGGCGAAACTCACTTAGCGACGGTCTTGCCTAGCAACATAAATTTCGGGCCCAGTTGTAGCTGTAAGTTGAGGACTATCTGTAACGTGGCTTGGAAATCTAATAGTTGTTGTTAGGCCTCGTGAGAGGCTGTGGCTTGCCGGCTCTGCCCTGTGACTCATTCCTGGGTGCCTGCAAGACACGTTGCCGTGACTTCAGTCTTGTGTTGTATCCTGAGTGTTGCTGGGGAAGTTGAAAAGTCACAAACTTGGCACCTCCACAAGAGGAGCCGACAGGCAGACGGCACGGAGAGGCCAAGAGGCCTGGCTTGGCTCCTGCTTCTACAGGCTTACAACAGCTCATTTAGTGACTGTTCACTGGAAAAAGTAACTTACAAACGCTTTTCACACTTAACGACTTTATAGTAGTCGTCCCCAGGGGACATGTGATCCAAATTCAGCCGCTTGGGCACTGACTCATACTTATGACCGTGGCTGTGAGCCAAGGTCACGTGATACCCCTTTTGCGACCCATTGACAAGCAAAGCCAATAGGGCAGGGGTAGGCAACCTCAGCTCTTTTATGACTTGTGGACTTCAACTCCCAGAATTCCTGAGCCAGCCATGCTGAGGAGAAAGGGAGAGGTTTCCAAGCTGAGCCAGGCTGGCTCAGGAATTCTGGGAGTTGAAGTCCATGAGTCATGAAGGGGCCATAGTTCCCCCATGCTGGCTCAGGAATTCTGGGAGTTGAAGTCCATGAGTCATGAAGGGGCCATAGTTCCCCCATGCTGGCTCAGGAATTCTGGGAGTTGAAGTCCATGAGTCATAAAAGAGCCAAGGTTGCCTGCCCCTGCAATAGGGGGAAGCCAGAATCACTTAACAACCGTGTTAGTGACTTACAAACTGCAGCGATCGACTTGGCCGCTGTGGCGAGGAAGGTCGTAAAATGGGACAAAAATTCACTTAACAAATGTCTCACTTGAGAACAGAAATGTTTGGCCTCAGTTGGAGTCGTAAGTCGAGGAGGACCTGGATTATTTGCGGCTGAACAATTTTTTGAATGGATTAAGGCAGGGCTGTCCAAACTTGGCGACTCGAAGACTCATGGACTACAACTCCCAGGCTGGCTGGGGAATTCTGGGAGTTGAAGTCCACAAGTCTCAAAGTCGCCATGTTTGGAGAGCTTGGGAGAGGATAGGAGAGACCATCCATTGGATTAAAACCCTGGTGAAAATCCCCCATGGGTGAGGGGGGGGGCTGAGGTACTTCCCCTTTATTAATTGAGAATCTGTTTTTGCTTCTCTGCTTATCCTACTTTATAATAAAAGTTGCCTCTGGACTGGGGCGAAATGGGGTGATCGATAAAGAAACAAAGGCAAATTAAACAATGCAGGTAGCTCTCAACTTACCGCCATTATGGAACCTGCCTATTATGGCTGAAAGTCATAACAGTCGCAAAATGGGCCGTCACGTGACCAGGCCCAATTTTATGACTTTTCTTTGTAGCTGTCATTAAGTGAATGCTACCGCCATTAAGTAAAGGCCAAGATCATTAACTGTTTGCTACGTGGAGTTTTTGCTGAAAATTAGAACTAAAGTCTAGTTTTCAGCAAAAATGTAACCTGAGGTCACGTGAGTACAGCAAATCGGCATACATGCGGGCTGGTTGCTGAGTGGCTGAAATGAGGTCATATGGCCACTGGGGAAGGCGGCCATTGGAATCTGGTTGTAGTTTTCGGGTGGACCATCATAACTTTGAACAGTCGCTAAGCGCCCTAAGGTTGGTAAGCACCTATAACAGGGGTCTTCAAACTTGGCCCTTTTATGACTTGGGGACTTCAACTCCCAGAATTCCTGACCCCTGACCTACAACAACATATCTCAACCTTGACAACTTTAAGACATTTGGACTTCAACTCCCAGAATTCTGCCTGCGGGATTCTGGGAGTTGAAGTCCACACCTCTTAAAGTCATCAAGATTGAGAAACATCATCATCATCATCATCATAAAGTTGGAAGGGATCTTGGAGGTCATCTAGTCCAACCCCCTGCTCAGGCAGGAAACCCTATACCAGTTCAGACAAATAGCTGTTCTACGAAATGACACCATTTTTTTTTCCTGTCTCAAAGTCCAGCAATTTAGATGTGGCTGAGTAGCATTTGCTGACCAGAAGTGGCCAATAACAGGACAGTGTTTTCCAACCCAGGCAACTTTCAGCAGTGTGGACTTCAACTCCCAGAATTCCCCAGCTAGCATTGCCTTGGCTATGAAATCCAGATAGAAGTCAATCAGATCCCTGTGGTTCGTTGCCTCCTTTCCATCTCTCCTTGTGACTCCAGATCTTGTCCTTGACGAAATTGAGCATGAATTCGTGGTGTTCAAAACAACTGCTGGTAAGGCCTCTGAAATTTCCGCATAACTATGGGGAAAGAGTCGTAGGCCTGTAGCAAGGCGGCAAAATGGAGACAAAGCAGAATGACATGAGGTGAGAATTGATCGGCAGGCTATTGGGTGATCTCCACATCCTGCAATGCTTCTTCACAGGTGGGGGATTTATTTCATTTGAACCAGGAGACTCCAACTGTGGCAACTTTACCATTTGTGGACTTCAATTCCCAGAATTCCTTAGGTCCAGAAGTCCTAAAATTGTCAAGGTTGGAGATCTGGCTGAGGAATTCTGGGAGTTGAAGTCCACAAGTCCTAAGGTTGTCAAGATGGAGGCCTGGCTGAGGAATTCTGGGAGTTGAAGTCCACAAGTCCTAAGGTTGTCAAGATGGAGGCCTGGCTGAAGAATTCTGGGAGTTGAAGTCCACAAGTCCTAAGGTTGTCAAGATGGAGGCCTGGCTGAAGAATTCTGGGAGCTGAAGCCCACAGGTCCATTCAAAGTTACAATGACCTGAAGAAAGTGACCTATGACCGGTTTTCACACTTACGACCGTGATCAAAATTCAGCACTTAGCAAGTGACTCATATTTATGACGGTTGCAGTGTCCTGGGGTCGTGTGATCCCTTTTTTGTGACCTTCTGACAAGCAAAGTCATTGGGAAAGCCGGATTCACTTAAGAACCGTGGGACTAACTTCACAACCACCGTGATTCAATTAACGACGGTGGTCAGGAAGGTTGTAAAAATGGGGCAAAAATCACTTAACACGTTTCACTTAGCAACGGAAATTTGGGGCTCAGTTGTGGTCCTAAGTCGAGGACTGCCTGTACTGGTTCTTTTCAAACGGACTACACCTCCTATCTTCCCCTGCCTGGTAACCAGAGGTTGGGGAGGTGCATTTCTCTGCTGCTTCAGCCCCCGCTTTGGAGAAAATCCTTCGCTGAGTCGATCAAATTCAGGCCGAGCCACTCAAATAATAAAGGCAACATTAGTATTAGTTAGAAGACCAATTATTAATTTTATAGCTTTTTCTACCACTGAAGGAGGCCTGAAGTCCCTGGGAGAATTTGCAGGCTGGATGGGGAGTGTTTATTGCCGCTGGATCTCGACTTGCCTTCTTAATTGCTTTTAAACATTTTATGTTCCTTATCTCGGTGGGGGTAGCCAGCAGTTGGTCTGGCTGAAAAAGCTTGTTTAATCTTGAGACAGACCAGAAAAGGCAGTGTAAAACCGATCCATCCTTTCCTGACCCGCTGGACTACAGTTGCCATCGTTCCCAGCCGGGATGGAGAGAGGAGAGCTGACTGAGAAAAGGTGAGTTAAGAAAAAAAGTGAAAAAGGCCATTTCCAATTCAGTTAATGCCCTGCCCTCTCCATTCACTCAACATGCTAACCTCAGTTGTTGTTTATTTTTCTGCAGCCATTCCAACTCGCTCCGTGAACGGTCCGATACACTGAGCTGAGCTAGAAAATGTTTTTGATAAGATTAACCAGGAACCTAATTAAACAATCATACTTTGGAAAATGACCTCAGAGGTCATCTAGCCCAACCCCAAATCCGAACTTTCTCAACCTGGATAACTACAAGATGGATTGGGCTTCAATTCCCAACTGGGGAACTCTGGGAGTTGAAGCCCAACCCAGGTTGAGAAACACTATACAGGTAGTCCTCAACTTACAACCCTTCATTTAGTGACGGCTCACAGTTCCAACAGAACTGAAAAAGGTGGCTTGTGGCAGTTTGTCATACTGGCGGCACGCCATCAAAATCCGTTGCTTGGCAACAGGCATGTATTTATGACGGTTGCCGTGTCCCGGGGTCATGTGATCCCCTTTTGCAACCTTCTGAAAATCAACCAGGAATCAGCCAGATTCACTTAAGACCCGTGATTCCCTTAACCACTGGGGCAAAACTCACTTAACAACAGTCTTGCTTAACAGCTGGAATTTTGCGGCTCCATTGTGGCTGTACGTCGAGAAGCACCTCGGGCAGAAAATGCAGACAGGAAAAACGGTCCTAAGTGTTGTTGTAATTTCAAGCAGTCACTAAACAAAACAAAAAAAAATGCAGTCAGAAATGGTATAGGGCGGGGGGGGGAGGGGGTCCCCAACCTTGGCAACTTTAAGACTTGTGGACTTCAACTCCCAGAATTCCTCAGCCAGCTAGTCCACAAGTCTTAAAGTTGCCAAGGCTGAGAACCCCTGGTGTAGGGTCTTCTGCTTGTGGACTTCAATTCCCTTAGTCAGCCGTGCTAAGTTGAAGCCCCCAACCCTAAAGTTGCCAAGGTTGGAGACCTGGCTGAGGAATTCTGGGTCTTGTCCTGGGGCGAGGGTGGACTAGATGACCTACAAAGTCCCTTCCAACGCTGTTATTCTAACAAAGTTAGTTGCAAGTCGGGGACTACGTGTAGGTACGGTAGAAAACCATCGTTGCCTGCAGACGACGCTCCCTTGGGCCTTGCTTCGCCCGACACACGAAGGCAGGAAGGCTTCCACCCGACCCACCCACCCCCGTGTCGTGGGAACGCGCCCAGCCTCCCGAATCAGCTGAAAAGGGGCGAGAGGACTTCCTAGGATCAGCGCCGGGCAGCCTGGAGTCCCAGCCCGGGTTGAGCCGGGACAGGAGGCGGAGATCGGGGCGGGGCGGCGGGCCGGCCGCTTGCGCCCCGGAGCCTTCGGCCGGTCTTTGTGCGCGAAGCAGCAGCGGCAGCAGCGGCGGTCATGCCCGGTCGTCGGAACGGCGCCCTCTCGGAGCGGAGCCCGCTGCTCGCTTACCGGCTGTGCAGCAGCTCCTCGCTGGAAGCCGACCAGGCGCTTCCGACCTCTTCCCGCAAGCTCTCCACCTTCCTGGGCGTCGTGGTGCCCACTTTGCTCTCCATGTTCAGCGTGGTGCTTTTCCTCCGCCTGGGTGAGCGAACGAGCCCGGGAGAAAAGCGAAAGTTCACCGGGGGGACTCGGCCCGTCTCGCCCATCGGGAGCAACCCCGGCTTGGTTGCACGCCCTGGTTTATTTAGCCTTGGTTTTTTTAGGGGATGCTGGGGCTGGCGGGACGGGGGGGGGGAGAAGCGGGTCGGACGTGTCGTGGGAATGCAGCCTGGTTAGCCCGGAAGGAAAGTTAAGCGTGTCGTGTGAATGCAGCCTGGTTAGCCTTGGGGGGGGGGGAATATATATATATTAAGCGCGTTGTGTGAATTCAGTCAGGTTCTCCTGGAAAGAAACCGTAGCTTTGCAAAGAAAGGGGCAGCCTAGTGTATCCTGAAAGAAAAATGAAGGTGTCGTGTGAATGCAGTTTGGTTATCCCGGAAGGAAAGTGAAAGTGTCGTGTGGAATTCAACCTGGTTATCCCCGAAGGAAAGTTAAGCGTTTTCGGATGAATTCAGCCTGGTTAATTCCTGAAGGAAACGTTTCGTGTGAATGCAGCCTGGTTATTCCTGAAGGAAAGTTAAGCGTTTTGTGCGAATGCACCCTGGTTATCCTTGAGAAAAAAAAAAAAAATTAAGCGTGTTTTGTGAATTCAGCCTGGTTCTCCTGGAAGGGAACCGTAGCTTTGTAAAGAAAGGGGCAGCCTGGTTATCCTGGAAGAAAAATTAAGGTGTTCTGTGAATGCAGTTTGGTTATCCCAGAAGGAAAGTTAAAGGTTTCGTTTGAATTCAGCCTGGTTATCCTGGTTATCCTGGAAGGAAAGTTAAAGTGTCGTGCGAATTCAGCCCAGTTATCCTTGGGGGGGGGGGAATTAAGCGTGTTGTGTGAATTCAGTCTGGTTCTCCTGGAAAGAAACCGTAGCTTTGCAAAGAAAGGGGCAGCCTGGTGTATCCTGGAAGGAAAGTTAACCATTCCGCGTGAATTCAGCCTGCTTATTCTGGAAGGAAAGTTAAAGTGTCATGTGAATGCAGCCTGGTTATCCCGGAAGGAAAGTTAAGCGTGTTTTGTGAGTTCAGCCTGGTTATCATGGAAGGGAACCGTAGCTTTTCAAAGAAAGGGGAAATTCTGGGACCTGATAATAAGGGTTGGTGATTCTGATAGCAACTCTTTGGCCTTTACTGGGTGATTCTTGGCTAAACCAAGAACGAAATTTCTGACATTGGCCATATAGGTAAGCCATATCATCCTGGTTTGTTGGACAGGGTTGTTTAATTTAAAACAGTGTTTCTCAACCTTGACAATTTTAAGGCATGTGGACTTCAACTCCCAGAATTCCACAGCCAGCAATGGCTGTGTGTCGGGCGAAGCAATGCTGGCTGGAATTCTGGGAGTTGAAGTCCACATGCCTTAAAATTGTCAAGGTTGAGAAACACTGATTTAAACAATATGAAGGTATGTCAGTAAAGGGATAGAGGTACAGATGCTGGCTGAGGAATTCTGGGAGTTGAAGTCCACAGTTCTTCAAGCTGCCAGGGTTAGAAAAATGTTATCCTAAAGGCCTGGAGTCTAGGATTAAGGCGACACCCAAATCATGGCTAATAAATAAAATGCTAGGCCTTTGGAAAGGTGGCCAAGCTGGTCAGCCAATCCTCAGATTTCAGCTGAGGGGGGGGGGTGGTGTCAAGGGAATAATGAATAATAAATTAGTTATTTATTAAATTTATATCTCAACCGTCTTGCCCTCAGCAATGCTTTGCTTTCCAAACATATTTCCTGCCTCTGGCAAGCAGGCCAGTCAGGGAGAAAGTTAAAAGAAAACCCTGATTCCCGAGAAGCTAGATTTCCACAGGCGCGGATGTTTGTTCGGGAAGGCAGTGGATGGTACCATTTTCCCATTTCCTGTCTTAAAAGGATATAAGTCAGGCAGTGGCGTATTGAGAATTGAGTAATCTCTTACCTTCAGGGCGCCGTGTCTCACACTGACTTATAATTAATCAGGGTTAGTCACATAATCACTTCATTCTTGAAATGGCCTGGCTGACTAGCTACATTATAACTCTTAAGCCAGCCAAGGGTAGGACTAAATGATCTCCAAGATCCTTTCCAATTTATGTACCTTTTAAATCAGCCTGCCCTTGCCCCAAATGCCCCGATACTCTTATTCTCTGAACTAGCCTGTGGTTTCGTTCACACAACATGCTTAACCTGGCTGCTGAATTAACCCATATTCAACAGTGCCTCAATCCTTAACAAAGTACGTAAATGAGTTAGGCCAGGGGTAGGCAATCTTGGCTCTTTTATGGCTTGTGGACTTCAATTCCCAGAATTCCTGAGCCAGCCATGCTGAGGGGAAGGGAGAGGTTGCCAAGCTGAGCCATGCTGGCTCAGGAATTCTGGGAGTTGAAGTCCACGAGTCATAAAGCAGCCTAGGCCTAGGCCAGAGGTAGGCAACCTTGGTTCTTTTATGACTCGTGGACTTCAATTCCCAGAATTCCTGAGCCAGCCATGTTGAGGGGAAAGGGAGAGGTTTCCAAGCTGAGCCAGGCTGGCTCAGGAATTCTGGGAGTTGAAGTCCATGAGTCATAAAAGAGCCAAGGTTGCCTATCCCTGATTTAGGGTAACTGAACCGACTATATTTTAAAGTTTTTAAACACACACACACACACACACACACACACCAAAAATCCACCCGCAATTCAGTTCAGCATTAACCCAAAATTGGCGTGTTCTGAGAATGCAGCCTTTAGGTCTTTCTGGCCTAGCTAAGGGCCCAGTTTTGTCACTACAGGCAGTCCTTGACTTAATAACCATTTCTTTAACAACGAGCTGAAGGCACAACAGCGCTGAAAAAAGTGATTCACTTAACAACCGCAGAGTTCCACTTGACAACCATGGCAAAAAAAAAAAAAGATTGAAAACTTGTGTGCAGCTCATTTAACAACTTCCTTGCTTAGCAAAAGAAATTGTGATCCCAAATGTGATTGTACCTCGGGAATACCTGGAGATCCTAAGTCTTGTAATTTTGGGTTAGAGATCCGGTTTAGTCTAATGCAGTGGTTCTCAACCTTTTTAATGCCGCGACCCCCAACCGGTCATAAGTCGAGGACTACTCAACTGGTCGTAAGTCGAGGACTACTCAACTGGTGCAGCAGAATGGGACTTTTGGCGGGCTCAGCAGGGCAGAGACAGCCTGGACAATTCCCATTGGCTTTTGAAAGCCAATAGAATTAGACTCTATTCAAGAGAGTCTATTCTATTGGCTTTCAAAAGCCAATAGAATAAAAGGGAGTAGCACAGCTAAGGAAAAGGGGAAAAAAATGGCGGACTGCGTTGTTTGGCGACCCCCGTGAAATGGTCGTTCGACCCCAAATGGGGTCCCGACCCACAGGTTGAGAACCACTGGTCTAATGGTCAAGGCAGTAAGCTAGAAAGCAAGAGACCATGAGTTCTAGTCCCACCTTGGGCATGAATGCCGGCTGGGTGACTTTGGGCCAGTCACCAGGAAACCGGGAGTTTTAGTCCCACTTGTTGCATGAAAGCTGGATGAATAACTTTGAGCTAGTCACTAGGAGACAGAGAGTTCTAGTCCCACCTTATTCATGAAAGCCGGCTAGGTGACTTTGGGCCAATCACTAGAAGACAGTGAGTTCTAGTTCTGCCTTAGGCATGAAAGCCATCTGGGTGACTTTGAGCCAATCACTAGGAGACAGGGAGTTCTAGTCCCACCTTAGGCATGAAAGCCAGCTGGCTGACTTTGGGCCAATCACCAGGAGACTGGGAGTTCTAGTCCCACCTTAGGCATGAAAGCCGGCTGGGTGACTTTGAGCCAATCACTAGGAGATTGGGAGTTCTAGTCCCACTTTAGGCATGAAAGCCGGCTGGCTGACTTTGGGCCAATCACTAGGAGATTGGGAGTTCTAGTCCCACTTTAGGCATGAAAGCCGGCTGGCTGACTTTGGGCCAATCACTAGGAGACAGGGAGTTCTAGTCCTACCTTAGGCATGAAAGCCGGCTGGGTGACTTTGAGCCAATCACTAGGAGACAGGGAGTTCTAGTCCCGCCTTAGGCATGAAAGTCAGCTGGCTGACTTTGGGCCAATCACCAGGAGACTGGGAGTTCTAATCCCACTTTAGGCATGAAAGCTGGCTGGGTGACTTTGAGCCAATCACCAGGAGACAGGGAGTTCTAGTCCCGCCTTATTCATGAAAGCCAGCTGGCTGACTTTGGGCCAATCACTAGGAGACTGGGAGTTCTAGTCCCACCTTAGGCATGAAAGCTGGCTGCGTGACTTTGGGCCAATCACTAGGAGACAGGGAGTTCTAGTCCCGCCTTAGGCATGAAAGCCAGCTGGCTGACTTTGGGCCAATCACCAGGAGACAGTAGGAATCTGGCAAGTGGGAGAAGAAAGCTCCAGACTCCATTCTTTGGTATGAGGTGTTGATTAGAAGGTGGGCTTGCGGCTTGGCTCACTTGCTTGAGCTCTCTGGTATAATTTGCTCGGTGAATATTTTCATATTTTTTTTCTTTTCAGTCTTTGCTGATTAATATACTGTATGTTAACAACATGATAGGATAGGGATTTAGGAATTTCTGCTTTCTCTGTGGCATTCTCTGCGTTCTTTCACTTTTTGTGACAGTGGCCAGCCTTTGGCGTGGACGTACTCGGGGACTGTCTTCTGCTCCTCCTTTTCCTGGTTTCAGAGGCTCGACATTCTCCTTTCCTAAATACAGCGTCAGCCTCACACGACCTCTTCAAAGGATTTGTTGGAAGTTAATTCAAGTCGATGCCAAGTTCAGAATCTGGCATTCTTAGCCGTTCAGTTTTCACTGGGGAAAGGGAAAAAAAATCAAGTTTCTAACTTTTGCAAAAAGAGTTAGATTTGCACAACATGGCCAGGGAAATATTAAAAGCAGAGAACAGTTTTTGGGAGAACTATTTTCCTTGTTTTCTTCCCCTCTCAGAAATAAAATGGATTCCTTGAAATAAATACACGTAGTCCTCAACTTACAACGGTACATTTAGCGACCGATCGAAGTTACAACGGC